AAAGAAGTCTGAAAGCAGAGCGTGCACTCAAAGAAATGCCTGCGCGTCTACTCACCCGCAAAACATTCAAAGAGCCAACCATTCTGTTCTGCGCTATCAGCTCAGCGAAGGATGAGGTGGAACATCCGTTTGGACCTAAAAATGAAGTCTGCGCTGTGGCATTACACAATAAAAAGCGTCATGCTTGCATTGCGTAATGCCACAGCGCAGACTTAGGTTGAAACAGATGTTCCGCCTTGTCATTCGCTAAGCTGATTTCCTAAAGTTTGGCCCTTTTGAGTGTTTTGCGGGGGTAATTAGGCATTTTTTAGAATGTAGAACGTGTGAGGGGGACCAGTGCCCCCTCTTCGTGCCTCCGGTCACGCCTAACACGTGACCCAAGAGGGGGGAAAAAGGGGATGCCGAGCGCGCGCACCCTCTCCTTACTTGCTCTTGGATGATCGTTCGCCGGCACCCTCTCTTTAATGCGAAATAGTTGCTTATCCTCTCGCTGCCTCAGACAATGCCGGCGGCGCTCCATGGGGCAGTTAATGCTTTCGCATTAAAAATGCTCAGCTATCAATAGGAATATTCTATATGCGCATTATCTATTCGGCTGTTATAAATGTGTCGCAGTCCCCGCTTTCCCGGCCATTTGTTGCTAGCCAACTCTGACTTTGGAGCTATCAAGAATTTAGCAGTGCTGGTGAATTGTGTGAGCTTCGCTCCTGCGCACAGCCTCGTTTTTGTTGTTGTTATTTTTTTGTTTTTATTTCGAGAAAATGGCTTCATTACGAGTCAGTCACGGGAATAATAAAAATAATATTATAAAACCAACAACTAGAGAAAATAGGAATTATTGCCATAACGCTTTATGTAGGAAAGCTTAGTAACGAACGCGTTCATGCCGTAAATAATTCTGAGTCGGACTGAACCTGCAAGACATGAGAATATATTATAAAAAATGGAGACACATTCTTGACTATACACTACTAGACAATCACACGGCTATTTAGCCTTATCTTAGCATTTATGGCGTGAACAATAATCTGTCCGTTTTCGTCCATTCACATGCGCTACACGCCCCGACAAATGCATAATTTTGTGCTATCACGAAACTACAAAGTGAAAAAAGAAAACTGATGGCCCGACGCATTCGCGCGCCGAAGTAGAGTACACTCTAGCCGAAGTGATAGCCGATTACCATAGTTCGTCTCAGCTGAAGACGCTACGAGGTAATCGGACCAATCAAACAGCGCCAAAAGTGCTAGTCACTGCACCTTTTCCTTTTATGATTGGTTCATGATGGTAAAACTCGTACCGAAACATGACGAACACCATAATTTTGCGCTTTGTTCGCTGTCTGGTTGGTCCCATCAGCTTCGTGCACAAAACGCACCATACTTCGTTTCAGCTTCGGTCCGAGCGCGGCCAATGTTATGAGCCGAAGGGCCAATCAAAGAGCGTAAAGAGCGCAACGTCATGGCGTGCTCTCCGCACTTGATAGGACTAGCCGGCGGAGGAGCGCGCACAGAGAGACGGCGAATACCGGTTGGTCCTATCAACTGCAGAGAGCACGCCACGATGTTGAGCCCCTTTCGCTGTTTGATTGGCCTTCGGCTTATAACATCGGCCGCGCTCGGACCGAAGCTGAAACGAAGTATAGAAGGCGTGACGTGCTCGCTTGGTCAACCAGTGGCCGAAAAGAATCTCCTAGGGATAGTAGCGAGAAATAATTTAGTAAGTGCGTAAGAGTTAAATGGAGTAAATCTTCATGGTTAAAAATGTAGTGCACGTTATGTTTCAATTATGATCATGCAAAAAGATGCAAGAATCGAATGCGCCCCTCGAACTCTCTTTTGCTCGGTCGGAGTCTGACCGCTCGGATGGCATTTCCTCGGATCTCAGCGCCTGGCGTTCGGATCACGTCGATCGTTCTCTTAGAATTTGATTTCGCATGACCGTGATCGAAGAACCAGTTGCACGATATTTCCAGTCACCGAGAGTTACTCTCACGCACATATTAAGTTTGTTTCTCGCGACCACCGTCAGGGGACTATTCCTGGCTTCTGTCTGGCCACATTCGAATCTGTGAAGACGCCCTGGAACACGCCCAGCCCGCTGTCGGCCAATGGCGCCTCATCATTTGCCTCCTATACTTCCCAATGAATGGCCGAACTCTCTACATATACGGCTCTGACCACATCACCAGCAACTTTCGTTGCGCCACCGCTGCCGCAGAGCCGTGTATACAGAAAGTTTGGTCAATAGGAGGCGCGGGCAGAGCCAGGGCGTGCACCAGACGCAGAAAGGAGGCTTGGCATGCTCTCTTAACCAACTAGAAGTAAAAAAGGATACCCTAACGGTGATAGTGAGAAACAAATTTGGTCGTTTTAGTAAACGCGTAAGAATTAAATGTAGTAACCCTTTATGGTCGAAAATAGGGTTCACGTGACGTTTCGATCATGATCATGCATAAAGATGTACGAAATGAATGCGCCGCTCAACTCTGTTTCTGCTAGCACAGAGTGTAACCGCTCGAAAGGCAGACTCCCGGCCCTCGGCGCTCGGCGTACGTATTATGTCGATCGTTCCGCTAATCGCACTCTTCCACTATGATTTTGGATGACCGTGATTAAAACATCACGTGCACCATATTTTCAGTCACCGAGAGTTACTACGATGCACATATCAGGTTTGTTTCTCGCGACCACCGCCAGGGTATTATTTCCGGCTTTTAATTGGCCACATTCGAATATCTGAAGACGCCCTGGAACACGCCCAGCCCACTTTCGGCCAATGGCGCCTCCTCATTTTTCTCCTATACTTCCCAACGAAAGGCCAAACTCTCTACATATACGGCTCTGCGCTGCCGGCATGCATCTTGGAAGCTGTAGTCTTTTTGAACGCCCGATAACCCCGCTCAGGGTGTGCGCGAGCAGGGCCCGAGACGACCAGAGCTGTCTCGTGCACTGGCAGATGCCTCCTGTGAACTACAGCATAGCCTCCTCTATACTCACAAAGCCTGGCAGTTCGACGACGGAGTCATGCTCGGTCGCTGATTTGGAGCGCGAGGGTAGCACAGAGCATATCTCGGAAAACCTGGCCGTTTGTGCACAACTTTTACAGCAGGACCCGAGACATGGTTTTTAAACCCGACGAGAAAAAAAGCCGAGGAACGCGAGGAGCACGAGCGGACATTCCATCGGCGTCTCGCCGCAGCGTGGCGCCCGTCACCTCGCTCTCCTCTCATCCGTTGTCTTCCGCTCTACCTTTCCAATTTCGGCGAACGCGTCACGTGGCAATCTGCCAGGCTTTGCCAGTATAAAGGAGGCTATGACTACAGTTATGGCGGCGTGACGCATGCGTGGAACGCTTAGTGAGATTGATCTAGCGGACATTGAGACTTTGCAGGCAGATATTTTATACGATATTCATTACAAAAAATGTCAGTTTCGAAAAACGAGAGATTGTATGTCTCTTGACCATTTTAAGACCCGCGTCTTTCCTTAATTCTTTATTTCTCACGTTCGTTGGGTGATCCCATGTTTTAGTTCAACTGCACTACATTAATCAGTAGGGGAGCTCCAACAATATTTAATTGTGGTATTGTGCGTTGTATCACGTCCGTGGCGCAGTATCAAACACAGCTCTTAGCGTTAAAGTTTTTGGGCGCGCACTAGAAACATTTTGCAACTTAAGTGCGGGCGACTGGTCCCTTCTTCACTCCACGAGTCGGCCGCGTACTGGGCAACGTGCTCGAGGAGGAGGGGCTTCTCTTCATCCATTACCAGGGTAGAAAGGGAACACATTTCCATCAGTCTATCTGCAAATAAGAAAATTCATCCTTTCGTAAATTCGCGAAGAACAAGACGGAGAGCCCTCAGTGAAAAGCAACACGGGAAATGTGCACTAGTATTGTACACTTATAAAACGCAAAAGCAGTTTTAATGTATAATTTATCATTCTTTGAAATGCCAATTATACTTTTAATTCAAAGTAAAATTATTTTATATTTAAGCAACACGGTGTGCGCGGGCCCAGTCTGAAAAGTGACGAGTCCTTACTACAATATTATGTTTAGTATATTATTCATCAATAAAAAAATACTCTTTGAGTATGCGGTTGCCAAAGGTTTTTCTGCTGCAGGGTTTTTCAACCGTGCAGCAGGAAAGCCGAAGCCGGCCGAGGGATAAGAGATAAGAGTCTTTTAAAATAATTTTTCGGAGAAATGAAAATTCGGATTTGTCCGCCCTCCTCATCCTCCCTGCTCCCCTGCGTTCTCCTCTTCCCCTCGCGGGGGGCCACGTGATCTCGGGGGGGGGGGGGGGAGGGGAGGGGGTAGTCACGTGACCCCTCCCGAGGCCACGTGACCCCCCGCTGAAGTCAGGTGACCCCCTCCCCTCGAGGTCACGTGACCCCCCGGACCTCTGCCCTCCTCCCCCTCCTCCTCCTCCCCTCATTGTCTAGTATGGTTCGGGGGGGGAAAGGGTCGCGTAAGAGCACAGCTCTTACGCAACCCTTTCCGGCTTGAGCGGCAAGGAGGAAAGCAGTACGAAGGTGGAGGAGGGGGGAGGAGAGACGAGGAGGCGGAGGCGAGGGGAGGGGAGGAGCTTGAAGGACGAGGAGGTGGTAAAGGAGAGGGAGGGGGAGCAGGAGGGGAGGAGGACTAGCAGGCATGATCACGAGGGAGGAGGAGGAATATACCCTCCACTCCTCCTCCTCAAGAGCTGCGCTCCAATTCGGCGTTACAGGAAGTTGTAAACGGCTTTCACTTTTTTTCTAAGCACTTAAACACAAACAAACGACTTTTTCTTAAGAGCTGTCGAAGTATGCCAACCTTGCTACCAGTGATAGAGCAGGCAACACCGATCCATAAATAAATGCTTATTATTTATATGTACTACAGCGACAGCAACAATAAAAGTAATTGACATGCAACAGTAATAGCAACTCTTTTTTTTTTCAGAAAGAAGGGGGGGGGGGGGGGGGCGTGAATGACATTTTAAATTAGGGCTCATTCAAGATGATCCGTTTTCTGTGTTTTTCGGAGACCATGGCGGTGTCTGTACGGCGTTTGTGTTCAGAGGAGCCAAATGTCGACTCACCTTTCTGTATTTCTGCCAGTTAGTTATAGTTGCGAGTCTCCTTTTCAGGCGCATAGCACTACTGGAACCAGCGAAGAAAAGCAGACATCCTCCACCAGGTTTCATCAATTCGGCAATGTTGTCGAACCCCTTTTCTTGATCCACAAGCCAGTTTAGACAGAAGAACGAATAGACACGATCAAATTCACCGTATCGCTGAACAAAGTCGGCCACACCGTTCCCCGAAATATCCAGGACATCGTAGCAGATCTTGGAGTGGTCGAAATGCTTCTTAGCATACTCCACCATGTCCTGTGAAACGTCGACGGCTACGATTCGTTTGACGTCTGGGCAGCGTGGGAGGAGGTGGTCGCGCGTGAAGTCTCCAGTGCCGCAACCCAGATCGAGGAACTGTTGATCGTTGGTCTCATTCATAAACGAGGCTTGTAGTAAGTTCAGAACCTCTAGATTGTGCTGCCGCTCCCTGCCATTTGTGGTTATGTAGACCTCTGGATCGATTGTGGCGGGGGCAGTCTCGCCGTTTAGTGAACGAACCGTGGTAACGGGCGTCAGCGCAGTCATCTTGACGAGTCGCAGACGATCAGGTGAATCGGCGGGCTTGTAATACGTCGCGTTTTGTCGCGCAAGTTCATTTATGCAAGCGCACAGTTTCGCTGAAATAACGACGCACATGCGCGCCTTAGGCGGGCGCATCCGCCCACATGTTTGTTTTTCAAGGGTTGGCAATGGAGGAGGAGTGAAGGTGTGAGAGGAGATAATACATCTGTTATCAGACGCTGGGAGACGTTTAATCGCGTACACTCTGCGGCACTGTTAAAACAAACAAGCCATCGCCGTTTTTTTTTTCTCTCTTTCAGTAGTGAAGGACTGTCGTCCAATCTACAACAGTGGTGGCTCAGTTGGGGCACTAATATAAAGGCCCGTTCACACATGCAGCGGAGCGCTGCAAGCATAGCGCTAACCTCGCGCTAAGCGCGTGCTGACGACAGCGTTCACCAGCTTTGTATCGCACCGTCAAAACTGTTGCTCATGGCATACGATAAGTAGCTGATGGCACGTGAGGAGCGCTACATCAGCGCTTCGCTGCATGTGAGAACCGGCCTTAAGTGTGATGAAAGATGCGCCCCGTGCGTGCGTCCCGTGCACTCCAAAGGATCTCCTTCCTTCCTCGGCCGCGGGTTGTGGCTCCTCATGCCCCGCTTGTCGGCTTTGGCGAAAAACAACCCTCCTATCTTTTTCACAATTTTCTCTTCTATCAGTTGTTATCCCCTCCCCCCTCCCCAATCCCACGACGACCGTTGGGCCTGTGGTTGTAACTCCAACTTTGGTTTTTCCTCTTTTGCAAGACTTCTCTCTATCTACATACCATTTCGAAGAAAAATGCGAAAAAAGCTACGAAAATTGTTTTTGCTTAAGATTACTCGGGCGCGTACATACATATATGCTTTAAGTTAGTGAAGTTGTGCTGAGGACGCGCACAGTGCCGGGAAAATGCACCTGCATCAGATGCTTGTAATGGCTGAAAAACACGACGGACTGATCCGCGGACGGAATGATCACGTGACGGCGCATCCGCGGTTCGTCCGTCTCCCAAGTACATCCACACCCGGGTGAAGACGAGCAGACGCCAGCGAGGACGGATCGAACTTGTTCGTCACCACACAGTGCCGCGAAACTCCAACATCGCACCGTTATCCAAAAGAGAAATCGACGTTCGCTATACCGCGATAAAAATTCTCACGCCGCTGTTACGTACAGACCGACAAAAAACACCATGATAGCCCTCGTCCGAAGCGGTACTTGCTTTACTAACATAATGATTGACAGTGACACAGGCATGGTTCTTTTCGAAAAGGCTTCGGCGTGCGACGAAGTTCTGTGCTCGCAGAGGGACGTTTGGAGATGCCTTCACGCACTCCGGTCTCGTGCAGAACACTAATTTCCTGTCCCAAGAAAGGTCTTGCTAGGTCAAAGGATCACTGAACGTGCAAGAATTATCGCGGCGTGCTAGACGAGTTCTCACGGAAAGTTCTTGACGCGGGCCCGGAGGAGTACCGAACCTGCGTCGCGTCATTCGGACGAAGTTTCTGCAGTTTCTTTCACACGGGGAACCAAGAATCGCGCGGCGAAATGAACCAGCGAACGTGCAAGACAACAGTGTACCATTTTTGTTTTATTCGCCCCCCCCCCCCCCCCCCCCCCCCCCCCCCCAAAAAAAAAAAAAAGAGAAACGGAAGAAAACATTGTATTGTTGCCAGACTAAACGCTTTTCAAGTCAATCTCCCGCCAAAAATTCCGTGAGTCAAAAGGCGCTTGACTTCATGAGTCCGCTCGTCCGCGGACGATGCGCGGATAGCGGGAATCGGTGACGTAACGGTTACGTGGTAGACGGTCCTCGGACGAAAATCACGATTCGGTCCGTGGCGTGAATCGGCTAAGCGACAGCTCAACTGAAGCAGAATGTTTGTCTCTGTGGCCAGGCAGGCCCTGTACTATCAAGCGCCCTGAATAAACTCCGGTCATGGTGTCCCCACCCCCTTCCCCCATTTTATACGGCCCTATCTAGTACGTACAACATCACATTGTGAGTAAACATGTGAGCAGTGGCCCAAAACAAGCGTTTTGTCAGGCGATAACCTCCCCATGTGGCGGGTTCGAATCCCGGCCGAGGTGCCCGCAATCTGACGGAGGCTTATTGCGGAGGAGGCGCCGTGTAACCGAGCTTTCGGTTGCATGTCAAAAGATCCCCAGGTGGTCCAAATTAATCCTCAGTCCTCCGCTGGGGCGTGCCAGATGCCCGTCGTTGGTTTGGCACGTAAAACCCCCAAATTTAGGCGATAACCGCATCCCAGAAACGAACGGCGATCGAGCATATTGGCGACAGCAAGTTTCGGTGGTTCGGTGCTGCCCTGAGTAGAGTAGCTTCCCGTGAGTAGCTTCGGATGTGAAAGCTGTAGAATTTGATAATGTAGCGTAAGCTACACTAACCGAGGTTAAGCAGTTTCGCGTGGCTCCTGGAGAGACGTGCTGCGCATGCGCGAGGAGCAGTGACGTCGCACGTGTCAGTCCCCGACGCACGCGCCGCGCGCATGCACCCGCTCGAGATCATGGCTCGCTCGCTGTCCCATTGTTCTGGGCGGCAGCTTGGTTGCTTGGTACATAACAACACGGCGCACAGCTTAAGTCATCGGATCCCGAAGTAGTCACATAATGCGTATACCGTGTGTGTATCATTGAAGCAGCAGTAAGCATGATAATCAAGCTAATCCTATAGACAACCAATAAAGCTAGTAATAACCAGCTGAACCTAATTTTACGCTGCGTATATCCTGGCATCGCCGAGCTAAGCCACTGAAATCTTTTTGCAAGTATTTTTATACCTGAAAAACTTTCCAGCATTCAGCATGCTGTAAAGTTTTGTGAACTGATCTGTACACACAGACCTGCGCACTTTCATCCTGAAATGCAGCTTACCCGGGGAGTCTAAAAACATTAATGTTTTTGTGGTAGTAAGTCAAAAATATCCTTGTCGGAACCGTGACAACTAATAACAACACTGAAGCGAATGGCGAAAACATTTTATTCTTGGTGTTGATCGGTCTCAAAAGGAGTTTTTGATAGAGAAAGAAAGGGGGGGGGGGGGGGGGGGGGACCACACTGCTTTTTTGTCAGCTTTTAATAGATGTATTTAAATTGCAGCTCTCAACAAGACTGGAGGGAGAGGATCGGTGCGCCGGTGTAATAACGTACCGAAGCTAAGAACATGTAGAGAGTAAGCTCGCGCTGCAGAACCCAGGGGTCCTGCTGAATTCAATCCCCACCTTTGCCCGTTTCGAGATGGGTGAGCATCGTGCCGGCGTGCGGTTGTATATCACTACTGCGGGGTGTACGTTGAAGACCCCAGGCTAGGACAAGATTTGGCAGTGTCGCGATCGTATTTCAAATAATTATATATTTGAAAATCGATACATTTCTTTTTTCAATCCGCATCTGTATTTTTGTATTGTCTTGTATTTCTGATATCGGAACACGCTGTTTTATTGTTCTGGTTAAATTGCCTCTCCGCAGTGCAAAAACAGGATGACATTATGAGGCGGCTGGCTGGCTTCCTGCCGTCTGTAGGTTTCTAATATTCAAGTTTACTTGTTACTTTGTCAAAGCGACTATAGTCGCGGGACTGCTGACCTAAAGTTTCATTTCCCGCCACCGAACAAAAGTAAGTAGACAAAATATTGGCTATCAGCTCACGGTTTTACGAGACGTACAGCTGTGTATCGGTGGCCCTTTTGTTTGTTTCTCTCAAAACACAGTCACGATGAGAAGTAATTGGAACACGGGAGTGGTGGCCCAACGAGTTCCTGTATAGGCCCCTTACCCGCTCATTCACACTGGAAGCGGATCCGCGTTCGCAACCGCTTTGCGAACGCGGATCCGCTTCCAGTGTGAATGAGCGGTACGGGAGCCAGGGTTGCGCGTCTGTTTTCCACGTGCCGCCGCGACGCTATCCGCCGAAATCCAATCACCTGAGGAGCCGGATCAAGTGCTGTGCAGGAAAGCAGACGTTGCACGCGCCCCGCCGTACGTTCCCGTGCTTTGTGTGTGTGTGTGTAAGCGTTGTGAATAAGATAGGAGGGGGGGGGGGGGGGGAAGAGAGGGCCAATAGTGGATGCGCACCTGGCGCGTTTGTCACTGGCTCTCGGGGGGTTGGGGTTTTGAGCGCGCCGCGCGCTTCGAACGCGCGGCGTCGCTATTCGCCGAATCTCGTCACGTTGAGGAGCAGGATCAACATGCTGTGCAGGAAAGACGGCACTACGGGGATAAACGCGCAACTCTGGCTCCCGTAGGGAGCCTTTACAGGAACTCTAGGCCCAACTGCATTGCAGCGCGATCTAGCCGCGCTCGTAGGAACTGATAGGAGACTAAGCGCATGCGTTCATGCTGGCGCCGAAAGTCCCTCTGCACCGCTCTATCTATTCTTTTACCGGCGGTGCAGATAATCCTTCGTTGCTTCTCAGATAGAGCTTTGCAACCTTGGTGGCGGTGATAGCGTCCGTCAGCTAAAGCCCCCGACAGCGTCACGAGCACGCTCCCCGCGAGCGCGAACTGAGGAAACTGATGCACTATCATGGTCATGTGAGCGGTTCGGTGCTGGTTCAATAACGCAGAAAACACTAATGGCGTGACACATCGCAACGTAAAAAAAAAGGTCTGTAAATTGTTCTCGAGAAGATAACTACGCCAGCTGCAGAAAATGACACGCAACTTGACAAAGACCATACGTTCCAAGCAACGAACCGCGTTTTCCTTTTTTTTTTTTTATGAAGATAAGTAATTGAAGAGGATATATTAGGTGGGACAGAGCAAACTTTCTTTTTCTGTCTGCACCAAGATGCCTTTAAGGGTGCCACAGTAAAAGACGAAATATTATTAGACTCAGCTTCCAAGGGGGTATCTGAACGGGAAATATCCAACCGAACAAGACAATCGCTTGGTGCCGTGAACCGTATCATCCAAGCGTACAGAAACAAGGATGGACGCATTGAGGACACCCACCGGAGCGGGCGGCCCAGGTCAAGTTTAGAAGAAGTTGACCAATTCATCGTTGCAGCCGCCGTGGTTGATCCTTTTCAAAACGCCCGAAAAATGAAAGATGCGCTGCAGATTGACCTCAG